ATTTCATTCGTCGATTTAATTTGAAGTATACCAGTCCTTACAGCTGTGCAAGAAAATGGACAATAAAAAGCAACACCTGCATCATATATATATTGACAATCTCTTTTAATGCATATGTTATACAGCATAAACAAAGGCATTTTATGACTTCAACTGCTGGTTTAGTGTATATGCAAGCAATATGATGTTATCGGACGTACTCGTGTGTTAAATCCGCCAGAAATATTATTCAGATAAGGATCGCTAGACCATGTGCTTAAGTCAAAGAGGGAATCCTCCATTTTGTTTTAATTTTATTCTTCCTCGCTATGTAGCAAATCCCACTTTAATGAAAATAAAGACTCTCAGATGATGTATGTTTTGAACATCTGGGCCAAAAACTCTGCCTCATGACGCAGTTTATTCTCTCTTTTTTATTGTTTTTCTTACACCATTGTTTTTTGAAAAGCACTTCAAATAGCACTGGCAGCATCCTACACTTGGCTTGACATCTTTTCCACCGCACATCTCCATCTTATACACCAACGACATCAAACGCATCTCCTGTCTAGGCATCAAAGAACAGGACGGTTTGTTTCTGTCCCTCTTGCCCTTTCTCTGTTCCTGAAGCGGGTGTTTACGCTGGGATTTTCATTAGCTAACACATGCTAGACGTGCTAATCCCTTACGGTCTGATTTTTGCTTGGTTCTGATGGAGCCCAGCTGTATGGCTGTGGTGTGTTTTTGTGAGGAGCGATCTTTGAAAACAGACTTTGTCAGGGAGATGAATCTTGAGGCTGACAGGAAGCTGGCACTGATCTGGGTGTGTTGAGTTTGATGGTGGCCCGCAGTTATTTTCTCAAAGTGACGACACTTCACCACAATTAAGTGCATTAGGAAAAGTTTTAAATCAAACCCAGCACTGCTAACGGATACACAGTCAGCGGTGTGTTTGCGCTAAATCTCAAACACATTAGAGTAATTTATATGAAACTCATTTGGCCCAGGTGTATTATTGTTATTTTATGTATATATAGTAAGGTGACAAATAGGCAGTAAAACACAATGGGTGTGAAACACCATTATTGAAGAAAAAAATATGTTTATGTATTTTTAAGTTTGATGTTATATAGGGATATAATATAATGGGTCACTAAATGTATCAATGCATAATGAATATTTTTACTTTTTTTACTGAACTGCTCCTTAAAGGACACCTGTTTTACCCCTTTTTTCAAGATTTAAGGAAAGTCTTTTGTGTCTCCAGAATGTGTCTATAAAGTTTCAGCTTAAAACACCCATCAGATTATTTATTATACCTTTCAGATTATTGGAATTTTCTGCTTTGAGTGCATTGTAGCTGTTTTTTTGCCTATTCCTTTAATGCAAGTGAGCTAGTTCTCCCTGCCCACTGTTCTCATGTTGCTGTCAGAGTGCGTCTCTGTCTTCTGCTGCATCAGATAAACAGCTCAGTGACAGACATGAAGGAAGCAAATCTTGCGAAATGTTTGTGAGAAATACTACAGTAAGAATTTTTCCTTTGTTTATTTGATGTATATGTTGTGGAGTTAATTCAGTTCTTTCTGCTACGATGAGTCACACACAAGGTCAGTACATTGTAAACGCAAACTCTGACACACAGTGCGTGAATTTAACTTTGCACTGTTTTTGCATGGATATCCGTTAATATCCACTGCTGTATAGATATCTGTTATGTTAATGCACAAAATAAACCTGATTTAACATTCACAAACCGGGATTGAAGCATCTTCTTTTAAAATTATACTGACATGTGACTTAAGTAAAAATGGTAAAATTGCTGTAATTCATTACAAACATGCACTGTTTTAAAAAGGTTTTAAACTTGTAAAACTAATTTGATTACATTTGATGATGATTGATAATCACAGAGAGCTGAACAGATCTTTTAATTTCAGTTGCATTGCTTCACGTCCTGTCTTGTTGATATGATTATACGCGTTACTACAGAGACATGTTAATACGCAGCTGTCAATCAATTCAGTTGGCAGGAAAACCTAGTTTTAAGCAGTTTTAAACTTACAAAAAAATAAAACATTTTAAGCTCAATACTGTTAACCCCCTTTTCAGTTACTAAGCATATTACAAGTATGATTAGTTACGTATTTGCTTAAATTCAATTGCCAATAAAAATGATTTTGGAATTTTTTTTTTTTTTTTTTTTTTTTTTTTTTTTTTGGGCACACATTTGGAGACTTTATGCACTAAATTCACAACCCCTAATAACAGAGCATGATCTGTTGGTGTAAAAAATAAACTCACTGAAGCCGGTCATTACTCCTCTTTACCAGACTCTAGATGTTTATGTCAGAGTTCCTGTTTCCTGGAGCTGTGAACGCCAATCACGCATTGTGCTTGTTAACATTGTCTTTAAAACACTCTTCAGAGTGGAATGCCCTATGGATCTGGAACATCAGACCACTTGGAAACTAAACATAAACGCTTTCATGGAGTGAAAGATTCCTTGAGTCTTTCAGCTGCTGCAGTCATTGATTTGTTTTTTATCTCTGAACATTTCACTTTCATGCACTGACTGCTTAAGAGTTCTAAATGAATGAACTCATCTCGCCATCTATCTGTTGTTCTGTTTATAATTTTATCCTATAAACTATTATTCTGTCATTCTGTCTACAGTGTTAGTCTGCCATTCAATTGGTTCTTTGCAATAATGTGATTCTGGATACAGTTAAAACAGTTAAAAATATCTATGTATCTGTCTGTCTGTCTGTCTGTCTGTCTGTCTCTTCCATCCGTCCATCCTTTGTTTCATCCATTCATTCATCGCTCCATCTATGTATATCGTTCCTTCATTCCATTGTTATATCCATCCATTGTTTCATCCATCCATATTGAAATCTATATTGGTTTCATAAATCCATTGTTCCATCCATCCATCCATTGTTCCCTCCATCTGTTCGTCCGTTTTGCCCATCCATTCCATCCATTGTTGCATTCTTTCTGTCTATTTATCATTCCATCCATCCATCCATCCATCCATTTATCCATTTTTTAGTCATTCCATCCCACATTCCATTTATCATTAAATCCTTCATTCCATCCATCCATATTTCCCTCTATCCATCCATCATTCTATCATATACTCACCTGTTGTGTCATTTTGTCGATCTGTCTTTCCCCCCCCATTTATTTCATGTCTGTTGGTATTCTAACAAAGTCTTTTAATTCTCTTTGCATGTAGTGTTAAACAGTGTGGCAGTTGAACAAAAATGGTGTTCAGTAATATATCAAGGACATTTTTAAGTGTACTGCCACATGACAGAATATTTCTTTTAATTGCATTTTATCTTCTCTGTGGACAATCAACCCGTCAGATTGTCTTTGAGCTATGCATCTGTCAGTTATGTTTGTTTGTGTCTGTATATATGTTTCCAAAGATACTTGTGTGTAATTCATATTGTCTTGTTCTAAACCAGGGGTTCTCAGATGCTTATTTCAAAGGTCCCAAATCTGAATTTTCATCAATGCCAAAAGCGTGAAAAAATTGATTATAACAAAAGAAAAAAATTTTTTAAACATGCATAATCCATACCTGTCAACAATGGGCCGTCAAAATATAGGATATCTACAATGTTTTTATGCCTAAATAAAACAAAAGCACAGAAGAACAGATTCACATTAATTTTTCATTTAAGAGTGAGGGGCATCCCCTTGTGGTTCAGCGGTATGGTTTGCGTATAGGGAGGATTGGCTCTTTAATGTTTATTGCACCCCTTCATAGAAAGATTGAAAATATGGGAGAAATATGGGAAAATACCTTTACGGGATGATAGCGGGATAGAACTGTAAAATACTGGAGAATTGCGCAAAAAAACGTTGACAGGTATGACATAATTATAACAAATCAACCAGTAAAATCGATTAAAATACCCTTTGTGCTTAAAAATACATTAATTACTAGTGCAAAAGTGAAATAATTATTTAACAAAATGAACGCATACCTCGGTCCAAACATCTTTTAAAACTCAAATTTCTTTGGCAATTTTTCTTTCTGAAAACTTTCATGCACCCATCCAAAACATTCACTTCGGTGAAGACTTGGTTGTCTTGAAAACAAAGGCACATGGGACAATTTTATATATCTTACACTTTGCTTTCATTTCAAACCATCGGCAAAAAGAAACAACAAATCATATGATTTAGAACTTGAATATTCAATTCTTACTGTATGAAATCCACAGTTTTATTCCCTTACACTCAATTATATCTTAAATACATCTTGAAATATGAAATGGAGATTGGTCTGGACTTTGAGAAACACTACTCTAAACTATATTTCTCTGGAATCTTTCTGGAAGCAGTCAGTCACACATTTTATCCAGCCATCCAGAAGCCATGTGTGGTATAGCTGTGAAACAACTGACACTTTTTCCCAAATGTGTACAATGTATAGATCCACACCCACTGGTTTCTCACACATAGAAGAGTGTTTTAAAAGAGTGTCTTCCCAAAACTAATTTGTTCTGTAAAAACACCACCAAAGCAATCTTGAAGATTATTTCATATTCATTCACTATTCTGCTTATAAAATATTTAAATGCAGATAATATGTATATAGGTCAGGCATTACATGATCAAAGTGGCATGGGATAGTGCAAAATCCTTACACACAGCACGCGCGCACACACACACACAAACCATTGGGTGTTGCTGAGTAGAGCTTGACATGCAGAGGTGTTCTGAGAAACCCCAAACGGGGCCAAAGCTCTCCGCTAAATCACTGTATCACTCCCTGTCAGAGCGCTTGAAAAAAGCATAGTTTGTGAAGCATTGACTAGGACGAAGATCAAAATCTAAAACCACTGCTGGTATCCAGTAGAATTGAGCACCACCTGCCAAGTCAAGTTCGAGGATCCAGTTCATAGTTTTCCCACACAAGTTTTCCAAGGTCATGAATGCAGAACAGTACGTGCTGTAAAATACATTATTAAATATTTAATACTTTATTTTCTCTTATCCTGCAGGTGCAGTACTCAGACCGGCAAACTGACAAAGAGTTCATGACTTACCTGACCCTCTCACCTGTGCAGATGACCTTTCACGGCATTGGGAGCTCCATTCCAGCTAGCCATGACCAGGTTATCTATCTGTCAATCTATCTATCTATCTGTCTATCATTCTTTCTGCCTATCATTTGTTAAATTTTCCTATCATTCTGTGGTTTGTTAGATAGTTCTGTCATTTGTTAGATTGTTCTATCATTTGTTAGATCATTCTTTTAATCTATCGTTTGTTAGATCATTCTATCGTTTGTTAGATTATTCTATTATTCTATCGTTTGTTAGATTGTTCTGTTATTTTAACTTTATTAGATTGTTTTATTATTCTACTGTTTGTTAGATTGGTCTATTATGCTATCGTTTGTTAGATCGTTCTATTATGCTATCGTTTGTTAGATTGTTCTATCATTCTATCGTTTGTTAGATCATTCTATTATTTTACCGTTTGTTAGATTGTTCTATTATTCCATCGTTTGTTAGATCATTTTATTATTGATCAATCATTTGTATCAGTTGACCATTCTATTGAGTGGTCTATCATTTGTTAGATCATTTTATTATTCTATCAATTGTTAGATTGTTTTATTATTCTATCGTTTGTTAGATTGTTCTATTATTCTATCGTTTGTTAGATCATACTATTATTCTATCATTTGTTAAATTGGTCTGTCATTCTGTCATTGGTTAGATCATTCTATCATTTGTTAGTTCACTCTATTGTTTGGTATATGGTTCGTTAGATTGTTGTATTCTTCGTTAGATTGTTCAGTAGTTTGTTAGATATTTATTTAGATCATTCTATCATTTCTTAGATTGCTCTATCATTTGTTAGATCATACTTTCGTTTGTTAGATCTTTTGTTAGATCATTCTATCTTTTGTTAGATCACTCTATCGATTATTAGATTGTTCTGTCCTGTATTAGATCTTTTGTTATATTGTTCTTTCGTTCGTTAGATTGCTCTAACATTTAGATCATTCTGTAGTATGATAGATCTTTCGTTAGATCATTCTATCTTTTGTTAGATATCTCTCTCAGTCGTTAGATCATTCTATTTTTTTGTTAGATAGCTCTATCATTTGTTAGATCATTCTATCATTCGTTAGGTCATTCTACCCAACGTTGGATCTTTTATTAGACTGCTCTATCGTTCATTTGAGCGTTCTATCATTTGTTAGATTAATCTATTGTTATTTCTTTCCATCGTTCTATCGTTCTATTGTAGCTATTGTTACAGTGTAATACCGATCTATTTATTGTAATATTATTTTATCTGTCGGCAAATCATTCTATCTACCTTTCTATCTTTCCATGAATTGTTCTGTCATTTTTTTTTATCTTTGCCATATCATCTTTCTGATGTTTTATCTACAGTATCTTTTAGGGATGTAACGGTATTGTAAATACCGTCATACCGCAATAGCAATTACCGTAGTATTGCGGTAGTATTACCATAGTCGCATGACTCGATAAAACTATAGGTCTTCTGAGAAAATTTGCTCAGGCGAATGAAGCGAACGAGAGGTAGCGGAAACTACATTTCCCATCAGCCCAGGCGTGGCCATCATCCTTTGCGGTCTGTTGTCGCTACAGATCCAGTAATGTGGAAATGGAGTGTTCTGCTAGTAGCAGGGATAAAAAAAGGTGGAAATGATCGAACCCAAGGCGGGTTTTAAATCGGATGTGTGGAAGCATTTCGGTTTCTCTCTAAAAAGATAAGAGAAAGGAGAAAAGGTGACAGACAAAAAAAAACTGGTATGCAGGCACTGCCAGACTGTGGTGAAATACAAGTTGTGGAATACGACTAATAACAGTCATGGAGACTGCAGAATACAGCACACTGTTCAGATTGATGCAGACATTGACTTATACTGCAAAGAGACCTCTATCTCACTCATGGCTTGTCCTCTCAAGTGGGGCAAAGACAATGCACAACGTTACCCACTGCTGTCAACCTGGGCCAAGTCATATCTCTGTCCCAGAAACCTCAGTCCCAAATGAGAGGGGTTTTTTCTATTGCAGGGGACATTGTAAATGCCCAGAGATACCAGCTTTTACCAGATTATAGTTATATGATAATTTTCCTTAAAACCCATCTCTATCTAAGTGAGTGGGTGAGTGAGTGATTAAATGTTGAATGTGATGAGTTTTCAACAATACTAAATTGAAACGGTAACACTTTACAATAAGGTTCATTACTTAATGCATTTACTAACATGAACTAATCATAAACAACACATGTACAGCATTTATTAATCATAATTGAACATTTACTAATGAATTATTAACATCCAAGTTCATGCTTGTTAATATTAGCTAATGCACCATGAGTTAACATGAACTAACAATGAACTACTGTATTTTCATTAACTAATGTTAACTAGCATAAGCTAATACTGAAGTAAATGTATTGTTCATTGTTTGTTCATGTTAGTAAATGCATTAATTAACATTAACTAATGAACCTTATTGTAAAGTGTGACCATTGAAACTTTATTTTTTTACATGGTTTAATAATTTTTTGTTATTAAAATTGAAATTCCTGTTTCAAAGCTTACAGATAGATGGCTAATTTGTATGTCATTGACACTTTTGGCACTTTTTTGGAGTATTTTCATTAGTTTTGTTTTTCCTGTAAATTATTCAATAAATACCGTACCGTGCCATTCATACCGAGGTATTACCGTACCGTGAAATTCTGATACCGTCACATCCCTAGTATTTATCTATCATTTTATCTATTCTGTTTTCATTGCGGTGATATATCTAGAATTCCATATCTTGCATTCAATCTAGTGTTCTATATGTCGTTCTTTCCTCTGTCTATCGTTTCAGAGATCTATCTAGTGTTTCGTCCACTTTCATTTCATCCATCTGTTTTTCATTCTATTCATTTATTTAAAGTTATTTCTGTTATATTTGTCATTTTTTCTTTATTTTTCTTGCTATGATTCCTTTCTTTAATCTTATTGTGATTCTGTTGTTCCATTGTGTTATCATTTTATGATCTGTCAGTCTGTCTGTTGTTCAATTGAATGTTCTATAATTATTTTTATACTGTCTGCCTGAATGGTATTACACCAGACATATGTGTTTCTGATGAACATATTAAACAAAATGGCATTTATATCAAAGAGCTGTAGAAGAAAAACTCCTCAGACAAAAGATTGTAAAATGTTTTTTTGGTAAAATGAAAAAAAAACTCATTTGTTTCCAGATGTTAAAGTGCCCAAAGGTTTTGGGTGCCTTTGTATTTATTTGTCAAATGAGTTTGAGAGACAAATGATTTTGTAGAAATGATTTATTTAACAGGCTGGTATTTCATCATGTTTTTCCCACGATTTTTCTAGCCGTTTGCCCACATCGCATGCCGATTCGTTGATTGCTTTGGAATACAAAATGAATATCGGAAAAAATTGTAATCCAGCTGACAGAATTGTGCTGACAGGCCTGAAAGCGTCATGTGCTCTTATTAAAAGTTGTTCATTATGAAGATTCATTGGGGAGAACATGTTGTGCGAAGAAATATTATTGCATTGTTTGTTTGGAAAGTTTCCTTGGATATTTCTGCCTATACGCAGCCAGTTTTCTTACCAGCGCAGTTTGAGATTTTATCACCAGCCGTTCGTTCAGGCAATCAGAACGCGCACAGCCATTATCCCCATTGTTAATGATAAGCGTGATTTAGTGACAGACCAGACCGCATTTGATTAGGTTTTCTTTTTTCATTTTTCTTGCTGTAATTATGAAACAAAAAAGAACCCTAGGATCGGGGCTGGCTAGTATTCATGAGGTGGCTTATTGTGTAGTGTCATCCATGCAGAAAAGCGGTTGCTTACATTATCTAATCTAAACATAGGACACTCTTTTGTTCTGCCCTTCAAAGCTCCACTCTCTAATAAAGCCCGTTCTATAACCAGTAATAGGGATTTCTGTTGTGGGGACACAGCCGCCAGAGCAAAAATGAAGGCAATATAGGCCATGGACTTGTTGTTGCCAAAAGCACTGGTGCATGACCGACTGTTAGGGAGCCTTTCTTTTCCAGATTCCTTAGTACAGTGGCGTCCAGCCACAAAAGGAGTCAGAACAATGAACCCGGGGTGGTTCTGGATTGTGACACTTTTTGGCCCAAGTTTCTCCACTGCCCCACAGTTTGCAGTCACTGCTTCCAGCGATAATCCAGAGAGCTGGGCAGCTTTCAGTGCAGTTTGTGGTGGATCAAGGCTAGCTTGCCCTGCTGTGCTTACTAGCTGTATTCATTTTTGAAAGATTGAAAAAAAAAAAAAAAAGATTTGAAAAAAAAAAAGCAGCGACCTTCAGTGACTGCATGGCTGAGTTACAGAATGTGCGAAAGCATTCACATTTTTTACACGTAATAAAAATGAAGATCTGTTCTGTAACAATGGAGTTTGCAATAAAACTAGACTGTTTTATTCATCTCATGGTAGCATAGTTTTCCCTATTTTGATTGATTAATTTGTTGATTTGTTTGTTTGTTTTTATTATTATTGATAGATTTTTTTTCCCCTTTGGTTTGTATTTATTTAGTTTAGTTTAAACATTATTGTCCGTTCTGCTTGGCACAGAAACGAAAGTTGTCTTTTAGCACTGGATTTAAGACAACAACTGCATACATTCACACAATAGCAACACTCACCAAGACAACAACATAAGTTAAAAATTTTAAAACTAAAATTATCCCCACACATATTACTGCAGATCATTCTTGACAGTGACCTCATTCACATCAAACAATTGGGACAAATGACTTTTTATTAGCATTTCTTCTGGCTTTAGGAATTCTAAACCGAAGGCCTGATGGTAAGACTTAAAAAGCTAAGTGAAAGGGATGTGTATTATCTTTAAAAATCACAACTGCAGTTTTTTCCATAAAAGAGTCAAATAGAATCTGCAGCAAATGTTGTTTGTGACCAGTTATCTCATTTGCCTGATTGATAGTTTGCGATCATTTCTTCTTCTGTTTAAGTGTTGTGTTACCAAACCATGAGACAATATTGTATGTGAGAGCACTTTCTATAAATGATCCATATGCCATGTTTAACCTCCTAGGGCTTAAGT